CTATACGTAAATCAGTAAAAGATTTATTAGATAACTTATATGGTTTGGTTGACCAACACAAAATATAATGTATGTAAAAATAAAAAATATTTGTTTACATTGGCAGAACAAAGAAAAGTTTAGAAAATATTTTATTTTAATAATGTATTTTTAATTTGTTTGGTATAAGTACTGGTGGTAAAATAAAAGTCCGTTTTGAAAAGCTTGCGAATGATTAAAGCAAAATTAAAGCTCTCTTTACACAAAGAGATGACATCATAATAACTGTTCTCGATAGTCGTGAGAACCATCACATTTCTGAAATCGTGAAAAATATAGCAAGAGACTTCAATCAGTTTTTCGCTTAATTAAAAAAAAAAGAATACAATAAAATTAATATTTTGTTGATCTTGAAGTAGACTAAGGTATCATAACAGCGACAGTCACAAGATGAGTCGCAGTATCAAACAGCCATGCAAAAGTTGATATTCTCGTCTAAAAGTACAATAAAACATCCTTTTGAGGTCAACAAATCGAGCTGACTAAACGTTGGTTTTTAATAATTAACACTGTGTTATATTTATTTACAGTATCTTAAGCCCCTCAAAAATCAAAAGAAGATCAATTTCATTGCGTTGAACAATATGGGACAACTAATTGCAGGTCAACATCTGTGAATATTTTTATAATTATGAGTTGTTAGAGTGTATGTAAAGTGTCAAGTTGTATAGGACAAGAAATTTAACATATACATTTTTTTCTGGCATTAAGTGTCATGCAGAAATTTAGATGATACATAATTACAAGTGCAAGGTGTTCTAGAGAATATGAGTTGACATGACAGAGAGTAGGACATTTCAGCTATCAAAACCATAAGAATTCCTGCAATGGTTCTCACTAGTAAGAGAAGTGTTTTTATCATTTTTATATCTTATACGCACTAGAATAATGCGTAATTGCAGAGAAATTCACAAGTATTAAAGAGTGATTTGGTTTCTCACCCTTAAATTTATATTTGACAAAAAAAAAGTTGAAATCCTTAGCTACACTGCAGTAAATTAAAAATTGGCTATTTTTTTCATAACTTTCATCAAAAAATATTGTAGTTTTACAGAATTTTTTATTTATTTTGTGTTTAAATCCTTTGTGATCTCTCAAATTACAAACTTTTGCCATAGTTGGGAGTGCTACTAGTCGTTCTCTAAGCAAATAACTATTTTAGGTATTTTTTAATGAAGTTAAAAATAGTGGATTAGTAAATTTTACCAAAAAATTTAAAGGAAGGCACACTGTGCATGTCTATCAATATTGTAACTGCCTATTTTGTTATTGAAACTTTTTGTCTTTTGAAGGTCTCATTATTACGTGAAAAACAATCTAAATATTTATTATTTTTTGAAGTTTTCGATTAAGAAGCACAACTCATATTTTCTTTATTTTTTTGAAGAAGACGTCCGTCGTTCAAATATAGTGATCTAAAAAATATGTTGAACTGTAAGATTACAAATGATCTATTAAAAGAAACTCTATTTTTCGTACTTTTGGTTCATCTAAGTTTTCATTACAATTCTACAGAAGAAATTTAAGCGATAAATCAATAACAAAATATTTAAGATAGTACGCATTTTTCTATAAAAAAATTTTTATTGTAAAAATTTCTTCTTACATCTCCAATCACTCGACTTTTTAAGCTTTACTATAGTTTTTAAGGATTCTTTTATGACTTATGATTAATATTACCACTGGTCAGTTCATATATGTTTTCATCATTGTTAAGGCCAATAAAATTATTGCTCGAAGTCATTTTTATGAAAATATTATTATTATTATTATTATCATCATGGTTTATATTATGAAATGAATCGTAATTGTTAGTACTATTAACGTCGTTTTTAGTATTTTTCATACTTTTTTTTTTGTTATACTTGTTAGTTTGTCTGTACTCACTATTGTTGTTAAGAAATTTGTTATTATTGTTTTTGTTAAATTTTACATTATAACTGTTATTCTTAATTTTCATTCTAGTAGTACTTTTTTTATTATGCCCTGCTACATGCTTTTCCATGTGATCTTTGCGAGTGAATTTTTTGGCACATAAATTACATTTGTAAGGCGTGATGCCAGTGTGCATACACATATGGCGCCTCAGGTCAGTTTTGTGATTAAAACTTTTCGGACACACCTCGCACTTATGAGGCTTGTCATTGAGATGGACCCGTTCATGTACCTCATGCTTTTCTTTTTCAAGAAAGCGTTTGCCACATTTGTCACATTTAAAGGGTCTGACTCCTGCATGAAAACTTTTGTTGTGCTGCGTGAGATAGCAAGATTTATAAAAAGTCTTAGAACATGGTTCACACCTTAATTTGACACTTTCAGTTACATAATTATCTGTTGATATTTTTGACAAAGTTAAATTGATCTTATTGTTGGGATTTTTTTTTTTTTTTTTAACATAATTTTTCTTTTTAGAAATGATATTGATATCAACATCTTTGGCTTCCCATATTTTATTGTTCTTAGTTTGGTTACGTTCATTTGTGTGTCGCTGCTGATGTTGTTGCTGCTGCTGCTGAGAAACGTGTTGACATGATGATAATACATTAGGAGAGATACTTTCGCTAGTAAAAGTTGACGATTGAATTGACTTGCTCAGTATCTGTGTGTTTTTTTTTTGACTGGTTTTGCCTAAGTTGAAGCCTTGAATGAAGCTTTGATGAATTGCAAATTTTCCTAAAGAAGTGTCATTTGTATCGTAAGTGCGGAATGCTGAAGCTTGCTGGTTAATTGTAGAGAAGCCGGGTAACATCTTAATCTGATTTTTCCTTTTGCTACTACTCATGTACTGTCTATTAAATTTACCAGTGGTTGTTAGTTGACTGATAGTACACACCAGCAGCTCCGGAATTTTGACAGCCGTTGTAACGTGGGGGGGCAGGACGTTTGGGTAAATCTGATGAGGTGTTAAAGTATCCTTCATCATGGCTTCTGGTGACGATAAAGTCATTACGTCTGGTATAACTCTCGTTACTGTAGGTGAAAGTAAACTCTCGGATTGCTGCTGGTGGGTTATTGTCATTTGTAATGGTGAATCCGTGTGTACTTGCTGGTGCGTGGGAGATCTGATCATAGTCATGGGCTGGTAGTCTAATGTTTTGATTGGAGAATGTGAGACCATTGGTTGATGTGGCTGTGGAGATAACTGGAGGAGTGTCGAAGCCATTGGTTGTTGAATTTTTGGATACATGTGCTGATTTTGTTGGATTTGATCCGTTGTTGAAATTGTTGACGAAAGTGTTAGTGTCAGCGGAAGTGTAGGCTCCAGAGATTGAATTGGTTGTTTCTGAATTTTTTGCTGAAGCTGTAACGATGGTTGCAGAATTTTCTGAGGCTGGGTTACGTGGTTCGTTGTAAGCTCGCTGCTGACGCAGGCAATGTTGCTGCTGCGACCGCTGGGAGTATTCATGCTGATAATAGGCGTATGAAGCAGGCCCCTCGGTGCCTTTTCCGAGGGACCTGCCATCAAGTTTGGGGGACTGTTAGAAGTTAATTGATCGGGTGAGATTCGGTTACTAATTGTTTTTCTTATTAAAGAAGAGTCCCCACGATTTGGGTGATGGTGTGAGCTTATTGGTTGAGTAGCTGGATCAGGCATATTACTTTGCTTCACGGCATTTTTATGAAGAGTTGTATTGTAGTGTCTTTTGAGGTGCCCAGAGCTAGTAAACCACTTGTTGCACGCCGTGCAATTGTAGGTCTTTGGTCTTCGTGCTTCATTGCTTTTCCATGATTGATTACCACCAAGTGGTGGTTTATTACTTTGTGGGATTATGCGCCCAGATACAGGATGTATAAGCATTTGTTCTGTACTCGTAACGAGTGGTGAGCTATTGAGTGGTCGTTGATCAACTGGAGGTATCAACGGTTGGCCATGTACAAACTGCTTCTGTTGCTCCTGACGAGATGGAGGGTTATCTATTAGCATTGGACTATGATAATCCTGTGGTAGCACGGTTGTCCAGTTCATAGACTGACCAGAAAATAAAATGGGCATCTGTTGATGGTGATTCTGATCGGATCGATTCTGTTGATGTACCATGTGAGCATGTGTATACATATCCATTTCATGAGAACGATGTGGATGAATTCTAGAGTACTCATCCTCGTACCTGTTGAACATAGGAATAAGAACATATCACTTATTTTTGGTAGCATAATAAATCAAGACATAGATATATATTTTAATGTTAAACACATATAACTGAGGCCACCATTTTTTGTAAATCTGTTTAGTTTATTACTTTCTAAGCATAGTTGGTGAGCATCTTTATTTACAAATATTAACAATAGTCTTACGCAAGTAAGAAAGCTAGTATTTTTATTGCCACTGAATAGAAATTTTTTTAAAGTTACCTTAACGTAAACATAAAGAAAATTTTTAATATGTTGTTGAGCAATGAGCCAAAAGATTAATTGTTAGAGCACTAATTATTGGGGTCTTTACTGACTATCCGATTCATCAGCTTATCATTTGTCAGTGTTAGTATTGGCATACGATATTTGTGAAAAGTCTTTATAATTTTCTATCAAGAAACAAGTATCGTCAAGTAAACAAAGTTAGATAATTAAGTACTAATAATATCCTTAAAAAACTTAGACTCTGACTCTCTATCCCAAGTACTCGAATTTTTTTTTTTCGCTGGAACAGCAGATGTCTTAGAAAAGCCTAACAGTAAATTCTTCCACGTTTTTCAGGGGTTCTTCTAGGGTTGTTTACCAAGCTTGAAGTTTAAAAGCATTGAGAGAATTGGTAAACAGTGTGAAAAAGTTAGTTTAAAAAAAAAGGAAAAGAAAAAAGCTAGACTTGTGGGATGCATAAATATTATAAAGAAGTTAATGGAAATTAACTATTAAGTTTCGATAATGCATATTTTGTTACATAAACAAACATTCATTAAATAAAAACAAAAAACCATGGAAATAAATTGGTAAGCTTAACAGGATTTGTTACTATGTATCCCTATAAAGATGAGCTCCCGATTACTAAGCTCTAGTAATTTATGTCACGAAGAAAATTTAATTAATTATGTTTAGATTGCTAGATTTTATCATACTTATACAGTTACTATCTTCTTTGAGTGTTACAACTGAAACTACGTAATATAATATAAAATAACAACTTAAAATTTAGGTCAACATTACGAATGAATTACATTACTAAACACCTGATACTTACTACAATTTTAATCAACATGTTATCGTAATCAATAAAATGTTACATGAATTCTTAAATCAAGAAAAATAATTAAACAAGGATTACTGTAACGTAACGAAAATAAAACTTTCAAGGAAATATTTATTCATAAGAATTTCTAGTATCCACGTAACATTTAATGACAATCATTTTGTATTGTCAGAAATATTACGTGGTAACTATTTATTAAACTCCAATACTATTATGATTGGTATTTCATGAAGAATAAATTGACAAGCCATCTATTAAAAAAAATTAAGTTAAATTTGCCATAACTAGTTATCAAGGTATACAAAAAAAATTATTTTCAGCAGATATAATATGTAAGGCAAATTTGGTGTGTCAAGATATATTATCTTTATTACATTTAAATTTCGTTTTTCTTATTCAACCTGATTTTTTCTTTTATAAATTTATATTATAAACTTAAATTTTTACCATGAAACTTTCAACTCCCAAAGAAATAACATCAACTTCAAACAAGACAAGTTTTGTACTTTTAGTGCTACATAAAAATTGTCAAACATGTACGACTTTCCAATGATTTGTTTTTTGTTTTAATTATAGTCTACTATAAATATTTGTTTATAGCAAGCATACTTCCAGTTAAAAAAGGCAAAGAATGTTCATTTCTAATTTTTTTCTATGAAAATCATACCGTTATTAAAATTAACAGAATTAAGTGATGCAGCTTAAGAAATTGTTTTTATAAAGAAAATAATATACATCATAGCTCCACAGAAAAAGTTGTGTAAAGACTTAAAATAGTCTTACCATACGTTTTTGCGGTTACTTTATCCGAATCCAAGGTAAGTTTTGTTCTTTTACGTCAAAATTTTTCATAACCCCAAAAATAAAGCTCAAAAAACCTATAACACGAGAAATTATGAACTCTTAGGAATGTTATTACTTAAAACCCCATAATTTTTCCACACTACTAACTAAAAACCACATAAGCACTAAAATCTCAGAACCTCATGACTCCATAACCTCAAAACTTGGTCAAAAGCAGAGATACGTATGTCTTATGTCGAAAAATAGCAGAGAATGGGCTGTGCTTCACACCTCGTTGACCTTATGGGTTTCAAGATCGACATTCTATTAATCAGAGAGACTCTTAAACCCAAGTAAAGCTATGGCAGAACAAACTTTCGCCCCTTTTTGACCTTAAGATTCTTAAGATCGTTGAAAAATCGGTGTAGAGACTTACAGGGTTACAGAGATTGGATAGGGTCAGCAAGAATGATACATTTTTGTATTACATGATGTAAAACTTCTTAGAACGTGTTGCAAAATAATGTACTTAGGGGTAAACGAGGGTATTATTGTAATTTTTTAATGGTTAGCTTAAAACGTTTTCTAAGGAATCCAGTGTGTCAAATCGTTGTAATATTTTTTTTTTAATATTTGACTCAAAAACTACTGAATTCCGCTGTCATAAATGTATAAACTCATAAATATTGATTTCAATTTTAATGTTAAATCAACGAGGTATCCGAAAAAATATCATCATAGTGAAAGAAATTATGTGTGTACCAGTTATTGTAGACATGATTTTTTGTTATGCAAGTGTAAAGTTTTTAAGGCTATTTTGGAACTAGCGTTCAATGAATTAGGTACTCTATAAGTTGATTTAATGATTTCAAGTGTTTACTTACCATAACTTATCAGCTGAATTAAAATATGCGCATTATTTGAGAGTACCGCAATAATTGGAGCAACCGCAATAATACCCTTGTTTACCTCTATGTTACAGAGATAAATTTCTTAAGGTATATTACGTGTGTTTGTAATATATGGTTATGTGGTTAATCTATCGTTATGGTTATATGGTTTTGGAAAGTTTAAGGTGCCAAAGTTAAAGGGTTCAAAAGTCTAGGGGTCGAAACACGATGGGAATTACGATACACTGACCAAATGCCTATTAACTCCATTTTTCGGCATCAGAGACGCGTATCTCTACTGATTACCAATTTTTTAGGTTATGAAGTCATTGGATTGTGAGATTTTAGTGCTTACAAGGTTTTGAGAGGGTGGGGTTGGTAAATTAGGGGGTTTTTGGTAATAATTTTTTAGGAAATTCATGACTTCTCGTATTAGGGGGTTTTTGGATAGAGAGAAACTAGCTTCAGATTTAGATTCAACGACCATAAAAACGTACATTAAGACTGGTCCAGGTCTTTGCACAATTTTTCTTGATCTTCTCTGAATTCTTCTCTCTTTTCATTCTCAATGAAAATAAATATCGTAGAATAGCATATACAAAATTTACAATACTGCAAAATACGAACAATACAAAAACAATAATACATCACAATTTCATTAGTATTCAGTCACGTGAAAATAAATAATTATTAATAGCCTCCTTAAAGCTTGGCAGTGAATTGATCTGACGTATGCCACGAGTAATCTCGTCCCAGAAGCTCAACACAGAGTGCAAAGGATCTATTACATGACAGAGTACGAGCCCTTAGATAAACAAATAACGATGCCACCTGCCGAGTTGATTGACACAAGTCATCATTAACTACAAATATTTTGGCTTTATAGCTTGGTCTGTCGGTCTGCAATACTCGATACATTTGCAGTGCAAGGAAATATTTTCTGCACACATGTAGTGATGCTGAGACAGAGTAAAGCTGTGTGAGAGGGAGAGTGCATAGTAAAAAAGAGAGATTACAGAGAAGTGGGCGTGAGAGCGTAGGTTAGTACACGAGAAGAAGATTTCTAGGTTGGGGACGAGAGCCTGGTGGACGTAAACACTGGGATCGCGGGCGAGCTAGGGCATCCAGGATGGCCAAGAGTTACAGCACTACTAGTTGTAGAGGTGTATCAAGTGTAATAGTCGAGATGTAGAGTGTCCGAATCTTGGCAGTCGGTGAGAGTTCCTCTGACCACTGTGGTAGGATAAATGTGTGAGTAAATTCGAGGAATGGTCCGAGTTTCAGCAAACGGCGAGAAATCGTCTATCCATTGTGGTAGGACGCCGAAAAAAAAATGTGTGTATGAGAGTTTGCAAATTTGCCTGAGTCTCAGCAGATCGGAGAGCGTGCCTGACAGCCCATTATGGTAGGACTTGTAGGACTTCGTACGAACAAAATTGGTAATGTGCAGTGTGTGCTCTTGTTGTTGAGCTGGTGCTTAGGATATCTCGCAGTCATGAGTATTGCGTGATGACCGGGTATTTATGTAATGAAGCCAGATTGTTGTAACCTTGGAGTTGGACACTCTCCGGGTGCAAACCTGGAGGTGAAGATATACGGATGTAGATGTGAGTGTGGGTGTGCAGACTTGCAGGTGAAAATGATCGGATCTCGGCGTGTATGCGTGAATCTGCAAATTATGAGATAGTGTTGGAAGTGGTGAAGATTTTTGTAAAGTTTATCTTATGTAAATAATTAAACCAGTTATCTAGAAGAGGATTCTGTGTTTATGTGTATTTTATTGTATGAATCTAATGTGTGTGTCCTGGTCATTTCCTACCAGAGCTGTTCGATTCTTGACGGACAGTTCCTGGCGTGGCCTCTTCTAGGAAGAAAGTTTTCATCGCGAGAGCAGAGCAGAGCCAAATAAAGGTATGAGAGATAGTTTTGAGTAAGAGCATTTTAGTTTTTTAGGTGGTATTCATGTTTTAAGGTAGTTTTAGTGTGTTGCATCGGGACGGTTTCTCGTTGGTATAAGAACGTTAACAGAGCTCGCAAATACAATGTCACAATATAAACAATATGAAATTTGATACGAATACAATTTTTCCGGGAGAAAGTATACAAACTCGTTGCATTTTGGATAATGTTTAAGGTTTTCATGTACAACTTCTTGAGTATAAAATATGAATCTATTTAACAAATATATTAAAAAATATATACGTATACATTATGTATATGCATGTGCCTACTGACATAACATTTTCTATGT